TTGAATCTATAAATTACTTTGGGCAGTATGGCCATTTTCACGATATTAATTCTTCCTAACCATGAGCATGGAATGTTTTTCCATCTGTTTATGTCCTCTTTTATTTCCTTGAGCAGTGGTTTGTAGTTCTTCTTGAAGAGGTCCTTCATATCCTTTGTTAGTTGTATTCCTAGGTATTTTATTCTCTTTGTAGCAATTGTGAATGGGAGTTCACTCATGATTTGGCTCTCTGTTTGTCTGTTATTGGTGTATAGGAATGCTTTTGATTTCTGCCCATTGATATTGTATACTGAGATTTTGCTCAAGTTGCTTATCAGCTTAAGGAGATTTTGGGCTGAGACAATGGGGTCTTCTAAATATATAATCATGGCATCTGCAAATAGAGAAAATTTGAATTCCTCTTTTCCTAATTTAATACCCTTTTTTTTTTCTTGCCTGACTGCCCTGGCTAGAACTTCCAATACTATATTGAATAGGATTGGTGAGAGAGGGCATCCTTATGTAGTACCAGATTTCAAAGGGAATGCTTCCAGTTTTTGCCCATTCAATATGATATTGGCTGTGAGTTTGTCATAAATAGCTTTTATTATTTTGACATATGTTCCATCAATACCTAGTTTATTGAGAGTTTTTAGCATAAAGGCTGTTGAATTTTGTCGAAGGCCTTTTCTGCATCTATTGAGATGATCATGTGGCTTTTGTCTTTGTTTCTGTTTATGTGGTGAATTACATTTATAGACTTGCGTGTGTTGAACCAGCCTTACATCCCCGGGATGAAGCCTACTTGATCATGATGAATAAGCTTTTTGATGAGCTTTTGTATTTGGTTTGCCAGTATTTTATTGAAGATTTTTGTATCAATGTTCATCATGGATATTGGCCTGAAGTTTTCTTTTTTGGTTGAGTCTCTCCCAGGTTTTGGTATCAGGATGATGCTGGTATCATAAAATGAGTTATGGGGGATTCCCTCTTTTTGTATTGTTTGAAATAGTTTCAGAAGGAATGGTACCAGCTCCTCTTTGGATGTCTGGTAGAATTCGGCTGTGAACCTGTCTGGAACTGGACTTTTTTCCTTGGTATACTGTTAATTGCTGCCTCAACTTCAGATCTTGTTATTGGTCTATTCAGGGATTCAACTTCTTCCTGGTTTAGTCTCGGGAGGGTGTAAGTGTCCAGGAATTTATCCATTTCTTCCAGATTTGCTAGTTTATGTGCAGAGAATTTTTTGTACGAATCTCTGAAGGTGGTTTGTATTTCTGTGGCTTTGGTGGTGATATCCCCTTTATCATTTTTTATTCCATCTATTTGATTCTTCTCTCTTTTCTTTTTTGTTAGTCTGGCTAGCGGACTATCTATTTTGTTGATTTTTTTCAGAAAAATAGCTCTTGGTTTTATTGATTTTTTGAAGGGTATTTTGTGTCTCTATCTCCTTCAGTTCTGCTCTGATCTCAGTTATTTCTTGTCTTCTGCTAGCTTTTGAGTTTTTTTTTAGTCTTGCTCCTCTAGTTCTTTCAATTTTGACCATAGGGTGTTGATTTTATATCTTTCCTCGCTTCTCGTGTGGACATTTATTGCTATACATTTCCCTCTAGACACTGCTTTAAATGTGTCCCAGAGATTCTGGTACATTGTGTCTTTGTTCTTATTGGTTTTGAAGAACATCTTTAGTTCTGCCTTCATTTCATTATTTATCCAGTTGACATTCAGGAGCAAGTTGTTCAGTTGCCACATAGTTGTGCGGTTTTGAGTGAGTTTCTTAATCCTGAGTTCTAATTTGATTGCACTGTGGTCTGATAGACTGTTCATTATGATTTCTGTTCTTTTGCATTTGCTGACGAGTGATTTACTTCCAATTATGTGGTCAATTTTAGAGTAAGTGTGATGCGGTGCTGAGAAGAATGTATATTCTGTGGATTTGGGGTGGAGAGTTCTGTAGATGTCTATTAGGTCTGCTTTGTTCAGATCTGCATTCAAGTCCTGGATATCCTTGTTGATTTTCTATTGCGTTGATCTGTCTAATATTGACAGTGGAGTGTTAAAGTCTCCCATTATTATTGTGTGGGAGTCTAAATCTTTCTGTAGGTTGTTAAGAACTTGCTTTATGTATCTGGGTGCTTCCATATTGGGTGTGTATATATTTAGGATAATTAGCTCTTCTTGTTGGATTGATCCTTTTACCATTATATAATGCTCTTCTTTGTCTCTTTTGATCTATGTTAATTTGAAGACCATTTTATCAGAGACTAGGATTGCAACCCCTCCTTTTTTTTGCTCTTCATTTGCTTGATAAATCTTCTTCCATCCCTTTATTTTGAGTCTATGTGTGTCTTTGCACATGAGATGGGTCTCCTGAATACAGTACACCGATGGGTCTTGACTTTTTATCCAATTTTCCAGTCTGTGTCTTTTGATTGGGGCATTTAGGCCATTTACATTTAATGTTAATATTGTTATATGTGAATTCCATCTTGCTAATTTGTTACTGGCTGTTTTTTTTTGCTCGTTAGTTGACTCAGTTACTTCATTCCGTCGTTGGTCTTTACCATTTAGTACATTTTTGTAGTGGCTGGTCCTGGTTGTTCCTTTTCATGTTTAGTGCTTCCTTCAGAAGCTCTTGTAAGGCAGGTCTGGTGGTGACGAAGTCTCTCAGTAGTTGCTTGTCCATAAAGGATTTTATTTCTACTTCACTTATGAAGCTTAGTTTGGCTGGATGTGAGATTCTGGGTTGAAAGTTCTTTTCTTTAAGGATGTTGAATATTGGCCCCCACTCTCTTCTAGCTTGTAGGGTTTCTGCTGAGAGATCCACTGTGAGTCTGATGGCCTTCCCTTTGTGGGTGACCTGACCTTTCTCTCTGGCTGCCTTAGTATTTTTTCTTTCATTTCAACCCTGGTGAATCTGACGATTATGTGCCTTGGTGTTGCTTTTCTTGAGGAATATCTTTGTGGTGTTCTCTGTATTTCCTGGATTTGAATATTGGCCTGCCTTGCTAGGTTGGGGAAGTTCTCCTGGATAATATCCTGGTGAGTGCTTTCCAGCTTGGATTCTTTCTCCCTGTCACATTTAGCTACACCAATCAAACGTAGATTAGGTCTTTTCACATAATCCCATATTTCTTGGAGGCTTTGTTCATTTCTTTTTACTCTTTTTTCTCTCTAGTCTTGCCTTCTCTTTTTATTTCATTGAGTTGATCTTCAATCTCTCATATCCTTTCTTCTGCTTGATCAATTTGGCTATTGAAACTTGTGTGTGCTTTATGAAGTTCTTGTACTGTGTTTTTCAGCTCCATCAAGTTGTTTATGTTCTTCTCTAAGCTGGTTATTCTAGTTAGCATTTCATCTAACCTTTAAATCATGTTCCTTTAGCTCAGAGAAGTTTGTTATTACCCATCTTCTGAAGCCTGCTTCTGTCAATTCGTCAAACTCATTCTCCATCCTGTTTTGTTCCCTTGATGGTGAGGAGTTGCGAGCCCTCTGAGGAGGAGAGGCATTCTGGTCTTTGATGATTTTATCCTTTTTTTCTGCTGGTTTCTTCCCATCTGAGTGGATTTATCTAGCTTTGATCTCCAGGAGCCACTTGAGGATGGAGTCTGTCCCTTGTCTGCCTATAGAGGCACCGCTGGGCTGCCATGGACCCAGTCCAGCTGCTGTGTAGGCTTCCCGTGTCTTTTATTTACATAGGGAAATTAGGCCTGCCTCTGTAATGGCAGATGCCCTTCCCCCACCAAGCTTGATCCTTCTGGGTTGAGCTTGAACTGATATACCGGCTCTGAAACCCTCAAGTGAAAAGGCTTCAGCCTGCTGGGCTTTGTGAGGGATGGACCTGCCTAACCTATCACCTGTCTCCCTTCTTTTAGTACCCCCCTCTTTCCCGGGGGGGTGGTAGCTCCAGCCAGCTAATGCATCTTCTCCCACCCAGCCAATGCATCTTCCTAGATCTGTGCTGACAATCCTCAGCACCAGCCGGGGCTGTTATTCAACTCTGCCCAGGTAACTCAGTCTCTTTTCAGCCTGGTGAAGATCTCCTGCTCTGTGGGTTGCAGAGGCTTTGGGTGAAGTGCAGTATACAGACTGGTGTGCTGGAGAGGCAGAGCCTCTGATCCTGTAGTCAGATGCACTTCCTGGATGCAGCAGTGCCCCACCCTGCCTCAGTTTACCCCCTTTGGGCTATACCCACTGTCCAACTAGTCCCATTGAAATGAACCTGGTACCTTGTTTGGAAATGCGGAGATTACTTACTTTCTGCATCTTTCTCACTGGGAGCTAAGCGCCAGAGCTGTTTCTATTCAGCCATCTTGGTGGAATCCCCTAAAATTTTCCATTTCTTTCAATGATGTTTATAGGTTTCAGTGTACAAGCTTTGCACCTCTTTTGTTAAAGTAATTGCTGTGTATTTTTTCTTTTTGATGCTATTGTGAACAGAATTTTCTTTATTTCATTTTCTGTTTTCTTATTGCTACTATAAAGAAATACAATTTATGTTTGTATATTGATCTTATATTCTGCAACCTTGTTGAACTTGTTTATTAGTTCAAATAGCTTTTTAGTGGATTCATTACAATTTTCTATATGTAAAATCACATAATCAACTAACAGGATACTTTTGTTTCTTCCTTTCCAAGCTGAATGCCTTTTATATCTTATTCTTGCCTAATTGCCTTGGCCAAAACCTCCTTCACAATGTTGAATGGAAGCTGGGAGAGCAGACGTCTTTGTCCTATTCATTTTGTCTTGATGCGTCATCTGAAAAAGAATCAATTCTTTTACCATTAAATATGCTGTTAACTGTGGGTTTTTGTAGATGCCCTATATTAGGTTGAAGAAATACTCGTCTATTCCTACTTTGTTGAGTGTTTTTTCGTCATGAAAGGGTGTTAAATTTTGTCAAATGCTTTTTCTGCATCTATTGAAATGATCCTGTGGATTTTGACTCTCTCTCTCTCTCTCTTTCTCTCTCTCTCTCTGTGTGTGTGTGTGTGTGTGTGTGTGTGTGTGTGTGTTTATGGTTTAGGCTTTACTTGGATCAGGTAGGCCTAAGGCAGGGATCATGCTGCAGGAACAGGGCCTGTGAACCAGTCAATGCTGCTTTTTCATGCAGTGCTGGGACCTCAGGGCTGAGCTCCACAGGCAAGGGGCCAGTGAAGCCCCTCAAAGCAGACACAACCACTAACAGGAAGGAAGGACAGGCTGCCTTTAGTGCAGGGAAGGATAATGTTGGGAGGGGGACATTCATGAAGGAAAGTGGGTAACTGAGGCTTTAAAGGGTTTGGATGGGACAGGGGTTTAGGGGAAGACTTTATTCAATAAAGTCTTGGGGGTAAAGAAGGGAATAAACAGGAGAAAGGAACGAGAAGGCAGGTGCTGGGTTGCAGAGTCGAGCTGCTCTCCACAGCCTTGGCAATGGGCTGAATATGGGCAACTTACTCCCACCTCCTGGCCTACAAGGCACTACTTGTTGCCCCTGACAGCCATCTATGTGAACACAGGTCTTGGGAGGAAGTGGCTGGACTTCATATAGGTAGAGATCTTTTCCAAGCCCTCAAATCGGGAGATGAAGTCCTTCAGGTTTGGGAAGGCATCCAAGCACTTCGGCTCAAATACTTGGTTTCCCTCAAGGACATCATAAACAATGAAATCCACAAAGGTGATCTTGCCCCCAAGAAACCATGGCTGCTTCCCCAGAAACTGTGAGTAGAGCTTCAGCATTGCAGGGAGTACCTCCAGGTATTCTGGCTTCAGTTTCTCAAAATCTGGGTTGTAGCAGGTCTGGCCAGCTTTATGCAGTTGTATATAAGCTGGTTCTCCAAAATGTCTTCCCAAATCTCCTCCTCTTCTGTCTCCCCACACAGGTTGTGCCTGCAGGCAATGCAGTGCAGGATGGTGTTGCTCTGGGTGATCTTGTGAGCGCCATCAATCAAGTAGGGCAGATTGGGAAAGTCTAGGCCCAGCCTGAATTTTTCATTCAGCCACTGGCTTCTGTCATAGTCAGGAGCATCCCCCATCCTGTACTTCTTTTCCTTGTAGCTTGAGTTTGTATATTCCAGGAGCAGGTAGATGGCATGGGCCAGCCCGTGGATGTCCCAGTACCCCATTGTCATAGGCATGGTGCTGGTTGGTGTGGATTCTGCGGACAGGTCCATTTACTCTGTTAATGTGGTGTGTTACACAATTGACTTTTGGATGTTAAGCCAATCTTGCATTCCTGAGATAAATTCCACTTGATTGTGCTGTATAATCCATTTTACATATTGCCAAATTCTACTTGCTTATATTTTTTTTGAGGATTTTGCATCTTATTTGTAAGAGATAGTAGTCTGTAGATTTGTAAGAGATATTAGTCTATAGCTTTTTTTGTGGTGTATTTGGTTTAGATATCAGGGTAATACCAGCCTCATAGAATGAGTTGGGATATGTTCCCTTCTCTTCTATATTTTGAAAGAGTTTGTAAATCATTATTTATTCTTAAAAATTGTGGTAAAATATACTAACATAAAAATTTCTATCTTAACCATTTTTAAATATACAATTTAATAGTGATAAGTATATTCACATTCTTGTGCAACCAGCTTCCAGAAGTTTTTTTTTTTTTTTTTTTTTTTTGAGATGGAGTCTCTCTGTTGTTGCCCAGGCTGGAGTACCATGGTGCAATCTCAGCTCACTGCAATGTCTGCCTCCCAGGTTCGAGCGATTTTCCTACCAACAGCCTACAGAATAGCTGGGATTACAGGTGCACACCACTACACCCAGATAATTTTGTATTTTTAGTTAGAGATGGGATTTTACCATGTTGGTCAGGCTGGTCTTGAAATACTGACCTCAGATGATCCACCCATTTCAGCCTCCCAAAGTTCTGGGATTATAGGCATGAACCACTGCACCTGGGCACCTTATAATTTTTATTTCTGTGAGATCAATAGTAATGAACTCAATTCTGGATTTGGTAATTGAGTCTTTTTTTCTTGATCAGTCTTGCTAGGGTTTTGTCTATGTTGCTGGTATTTTTAAAGAATCAACTTTTGCTTTCATCGATGTTCTCTACTGTTTTTCTATTATCTATTTTATTAATATCTGCATTAATCCTTACTATTTCCTTCCTTCTGCTTGCTTTGGGCTTAGATTGTTCTTCGTTGTCTCTTTGTCTTTTTGGCTGTGTGCCTTCTTTAGTCTCATTAGAGTGAACTAGAGAGAGAGCAGAGATAAATGCATGTAAAATAGAAGACCTCTTGAGAATCCATTCACTAATGAAGTGTTCCTTTGAGTCAAAACATTGCTGCCTCTGGGTGACTTTTTTTTTTTTTTTGAGACGGAGTTTCGCTCTTGTTACCCAGGCTGGAGTGCAATGGCGTGATCTCGGCTCACCGCAACCTCCGCCTCCTGGGTTCAGGCAATTCTCCTGCCTCAGCCTCCTGAGTAGCTGGGATTACAGGCACGCGCT